AGGTGACAACACGATCGTGGAGCTGGAAGGGCTGCGGCGGCGGGTGGAGCAGGATGAGGCGGCGGAGGAGGCGGCGGCCAAGGCGGCAGCAATTGCGCACGGCCAGGCGCGCCGGATGAGGTGGGCGCCGTCCGCTGCTGCTGCCGCTGCTGCCGCCGCCGCTGCTGGCGCCGCCGCTGCTGCTGCTGCCGCCGCTGCCGCCGCTGCTGCTGCCACGCATGGGCCCAAAGCACGGTGGGAGCGGGTAGCGAAGGGAACGGTGGCAAGGGACAAGGCGCGGCGAGGCGGCGTGGTCTTTTTCTGGCGCTGGCAGCAGCAGGGCATTGGTTCACTCCCAATCATGCGTCAATCACCTCAGCTCGGTTCCAGTGCTCCTCGTTGATAGCAATTGATCCCCTGGAGTGGCTGCCGCACCGGGCCGCACAGCGTGGCGCAGCACCACCGCCGCCGCTATGAATTCCATCCACTGGGTGCCAGAGGGCCATCGCCGTCCCTCCCCGCATTGCTCGTTCGCCGTCTGGGGTCGTGTGCGCTCCGATGGCGCCGCCCAGGAGGCACAGAACCCGAGCGCCGCTCGTGGGCTACCTGCCTCTGGTGCTGATGGTGGTTGCTCTCAGCGGATGGGGCTTCTGGCTGCTCCCGCGGCTGCTGGGGTCCCAGGCCGGGTCGGCAGGCAAGGGCCTGCGGTTGGTGCCAGTGGCTGTGCCCCAGGCCCGCTCCCGCACCCTGGTGGTCTACGTCTTTGGCGGATCCGACCCAGAGTACGCCGACAACCTGCGCTTCTTCGTCAACGAGGCGGTCAAGGTGCAGTGCGGCACTGCGCCGCTGCCGCTCCCGCCCCCTGCCTTGCACGCGCGTGCGGCAGCAGGCAGGCTCAGCACACGCTCACGCACGCTTCCACCGCGCGCGCCCCCGGCTGCAGGAGGGCGACAACTGCGACTATATCATCGTGCTGCAGCAGGACAAGGACCTGAGCCTGCCCGAGCCGCTGCCCAGCCTGCCGCGCAACGCGCGCTACCTGCAGCACGCCAACGAGTGCTTCGACATCGGCACCGTGGGCTGGGTGCTGCAGGCGCACGTGCCGCGCCGCGCCGCCTACCGCTACTTCGTCTGGCTCAACTCCTCGGTGCGGGGCCCCTTCCTGCCCGCCTACCTCTCCGGCGCGGTGCACTGGACTGAGCCGCTCCTCTCCAAGCTCAACGACCGCGTCAAGCTGGTGGGCCCCACCATCAACTGCGGGCGGGCCTACGACCTGCCCCCCACGGTGCACGTCCAGTCGTACGTCACCGCCACCGACGCGGCGGGGCTGGAGGTGCTGCTGGCTACCGGCACGGTGTTCAAGTGCTGGGGCCACATCCACGATACCATCATCTCCTCGGAGATAGGCGCCTCCTCAGCCATCATGGCCGCCGGCTTCGGAATCGACTCCCTCATGCTGCGCTACAAGGTGCGCGCCCGCGGCGGAAGGGTCGGTAGGCTGGGGTGGGGAGTAGGGTGGCTGCGATGCGCTGCGTGGGCTGCACGCCCCGCCCCCTGCTCCAGCCCTCCCTCGCCGCCCGGCCCGCTGCGACCCGCGCTGGAATCGGCACCCCCTCACCCGCTGCCTCCCCGCCTGCCGGTACCGCAGGGCGTGGACTGGCGGGACCCTGCCGTGCAGGACCACGCCTGCAACGGCGAGCTGAACCCGCTGCAGCCGGGGTTCAATGACGGCATCAATGTGGAGCCGCTGGAGGTGATGTTTATCAAGGTCAAGGCTGCCATGCTGGCAGCGGGCAACTGGCCCCATGCCACCGCCGCCGTCAAGTACGCGCAGTGGGCGCGGCTGGCGAGGGAGGAGGCGGCGCGGGTGGCGGGCGGCGCGCGCGGCGCGTCGCCCCGCTGGCTGGCCGCCATCGCGGCCAACGAGTGGCCGCAGGCGCGCGCGCCGGAGCTGCTGCGCGAGGCGCAGCGCAGGGGGCAGGCCTGCTTCGACCACAAGTTCTATATTGACAGCGGCTACGACCTGGCGTTCATGTGGGAGCAGCCCGACCCGCCCGCCCTGGCCTGGGAGCAGTTCCTGGGCATGGGGCTGTACGAGGGCAGGCCGTACCGCTTCACGTGCTGAGGCACGGCGCGGCGGCGCGCCGCCGCGCGCGCAGCCCCCCACGCCGAGCCGCCCGCCACCCCCCGGCTCGACGGCGGCTGGCCGGCGGCCGGGCCTAGCCACGTGCACCGCACGCCAGCCAGCCAGCCAGCCCACTCTCGAGACCTGCCAACTTCCCTGCCCCACCACCTCCCCTGTTCGCACCCCGGCCGCTGCACCACCCTCCACAACCACCAGCCTCCACAGCCCGCCCACACCACGCCAGCACCGCTCGCCAGCCCTGTCGCCTGCTGCGGTCGCGGTGCTGTGCAGATGCGGGCGGTGCGACGCGCCTGCCACTCCTCTGCCGCCGCTGCCGCCGCTCCCTCTGCTGCCACCTCCACGTCTGCTGCGCTGCCATCTGCTGCTGGTGGCATGTGCAATTTTGTGCTGCGCCGCAGCTCGGCATGCCCCTCACACGGTGCCTGCCGCGTCGGGCCTGCCTGTGCGGTGGCGCAGGCTGGAGGTGGCGGAGCGGGAGACCACCCTGCAGCTGCAGAAGGCTGAGGCAGTCGCCATGGCGGTGCGCAGCGCGCGGGCCGAGCTGCGCAGGCTGGCAGGCGCCCAGCGCGCGGCGGAGGCAGAGGCGGCGGCTGCCACGGCAGGGGCGGCGGCAGCCAAGCAGGTGGGCCCGCCGCCGGCGGTGGGGCGGCTTGCCGGTGACGGCTGGCTGCGCACTGGCTGCTTACGTGGCGCGCATCCGCAACTCTGGATGGCCACTTGATTGCCAGGCTGCGTCCTTCGCAGCACATGCCAGCTTGCCGACGTGTGCCCCTGCCCCTCCCCCCACACGCCGCAGGACTCTGCTGTGCTGGAGCGGCAGGTGCAGTCGGGGTGGGCGCCCAAGCTGGGGCAGACCGTGTTTGTGCCGCGCCTGAACAAGCGGGCCAAGGTGGTGGCGGTGGATGGCACGGGCGGGCTCACGCTGCAGGCGGGGCTGCTCAAGGTCAGCGCCAGGGTGGACGAGGTGCGGCAGCAGTAGGCGGCCGGAGCAAGCAGGCAGGTGGCGGGCAGGGCTGGAGCGGCGGCTCGGCTGGCTGCAAGTTTTGGCGTGTGTACTTTTTCCTTTTTGATGCGCTTTTGATACCTTCCTCTGATTTCATGCTCATTGTCTCATGCTCAATTCTAGCACTGTCACATGTCGCACACAAGTTGCCGAGGGTTCGTTTGGTGGAAAGCAGAACGGAAGCAGAATCAATGGCACGGTTCCGCAACAATACATAGGCAGCACGGGGGAGACGAGGGGTCGGTTCATCGGATCAGATTGAAACAGCGGGGCGGAAAGATTATCAGGCACCAGTTCATTCAACGCAGCCGCAAGCTGCTAGCGGCTGCCTCTCAGCGCGCCGGCCCTCCAGCCCGCTCTTGGCACCATGCCGCAGCTGGGCACACAGCCGCTGGTCTCCAGCCACAGCAGCCGCCAGGCGCGCCCGACGAGGCGCTGCCGCCAGTCGGCGCACGCCGCCGCCTATGCGGCGCCGCGCTCCTGGAACGCCAGCTTGCCTGCCTTGTACAACCCCTCCACCGCAAACACGAGCACCCCGTTGGGCACCTTGCGCACCACCTCCTTGCTCTCCTCCCCCGCGCACTCCTCCATCGCACTCTTGATCGCCCATGCGGTGAGCGGGAAGACCAGCTGCGGAAGCAGGGGCAGGCGCGGCCAGCGCAGCGGTGGCGAAACCAGATGAGCGCAGGCGCAGGCGCAGGCGCGCCGCCGGGCTGCCCTGTGCATCAGCCAGGCGCCCACCCAGCCTGCCCACCATCTTGAGTGCCATGCGGGCGAAGATCTTGAAGGGCAGCGACTCGGTGAAGGTTGCGCGGTCGTTGGTGCCCACCAGCATGCTGACACACTCATGAAATTCCTGCACCCAGGATAAGGGGATCAAACGGGAAGGCCCGGGGGCTTGAACGGGCCGGGCGCGGCGGCATGCCAGCGGGCCCTGGCGGCGGCGCTGGCCGCGCCCTTACCGCCGGCCCCGCCGCTGCCTGCCGCTGCTGCGCGGCGTGCAGCAGGGCTGGATGGCTGACACCGGACTGGTCCAACAGGCCTCACCCCACCCATGCAACCACACAGGCAGGGACATGCTTCTACAGCGCTGCTTTAAACCCCCTGCACCGCTGCCTCAACCGCCCCCTGCTTCCACCAGCCCCTGCCCGCCTGCCAACCCAGCCAAACCCCACCTCAAAGCTCAGCTTGCCGCTCGCGTCTGCATCATACTTTTTCAGGATGCCATGGATCTCCTCGTGCTTGGGAGGCTTGATGTAAACAGGCAGGGCCTTCAGGCGGGCAGGCAGGAGGGAGGGAGCAGCAGTTGGAGGGGCCCCCTGCCACTCAGCGCGCGTCACGCCACCTTAGCTCGCAGCAGCAGCCCAGCCACCTTGTTCAGCTTGTCGTACACAAGCAGCAGCCCCACGTGCAGCTCCTTCACGTCGATGGAACCTACGCACAATACCAATCAGGCAGTAAAGAGAGGCACGCATGGCGCCCACCGCTGCCGCCGCCAGCGGGCCTTGCAAGCCGGCCAACCCTGACCCAGGGGCCGTCCCATGCATGCAACCGATCCCCAATTGCAGCATGTGGCGCGCAGGAGGCGCAGCAGTGGCGGATGGCCGGCGATCGGACCGGGTGGGTGGGAACAGTGCAGTACAGCGAAGGCGCAGCCATCGCATCGCTCTGCATATGTGCGAATCGTGCTCACCATCGTTGTCCAGGTCGCACTCCTTGAAGCTCTTCAGCGCCAGCTTCTTGACCAGCTCACTTTTGCTCAGCTTGCCCATCTTGGCGTCCCTCCCAGCGTTCACAGCAATGAATGGCGATCCAGGTGGCCTCGGATGAGGTGCTCAGAACCCTAAATAGACTGGCAAACCACGCACAGCATGCAGCAGGATGTTCCATGGGCGGGCAAGCTTGCATGTGTCACATTGTGAGTGAGCAGCGCTCTTCTGTTACTCCCTGGGCAAAACCTTGTATTCTGATCGGTGTGTGGATTGCGGGTGCCGTCCAACAATGCGCCTTCGGACGGGCTTCCCACGGGGGGGTTCTCTCGGAGAGGGCCAGGGGGCATGCTCATCCACAATTTGCAGCCTGTGGCACCTCAGTTGGGCCCCGCGAACCACGGCAGCGTTGCAGGGCTCCGCCATGGCCACGGGCAGTCAACCCGAGCAGGCCGCTGCACTGGCCGGCACGCCTAACAGCTCGCAGAAGGTGGTACGAGGCTATATATGTGCAGGGCGAATAGGTGCAGGGCTATGGCGCAGTGGGAGGTGCCAGGGGCGGCGGCAGTAGCACTGATATGCCTGTGCTGCTGTTTGGTACCCATGACGAGGAGCGCAAGGCGCTGACCCCCGCAGAGAGGAAGGAGAAGAAGGAGAGGGCAATGGTGAGAACAGGGGTGCAGCAAGCTGCTGCTGCTTGCCGCTGCCGCCGTGCGCTGCAGCCCAAGCCCAGGCAGGGCCACCTCCTTCGCTCGCCGATGCTCTGGCACTGCCGCCGCCGCTTCTGATGCAGAAGAGGCACGGGCAGAGACTGCGCAGGCAGTACCAGTCGGAGTTCATCTTCAAGGCCAACATTGTCGATGGCGCGATTGTTGTGCCCAACCCGATGGTGCGTGTGTGCGTGCGTGTTGCAGGCGCGGCAGGCAGACTGATCCGAGAGGCGATTGAGCGGTTGTAGCACGGGCATGTTACCGGCGTGCATCCGCTGCGTTCAAATGCAACCGTTCTCAATGTGTACAGCCATCCCGAGAGCCCGAGCTGCTCAAGCTGGCCAAGGAGATCAAGTGAGTGCCGTACACCAGGCGGGACATAGAGGCGATGTTTCAGGGGAACTACATGGAGACGTGCAGTAGCTACCAGCACACAGGTGGGTCACCGGGCTGGCAGACGCTGGTGGGGAGAAGGGGCGCCCAAGGTGCGGGGCGCATGCGGGGTGAGGGCGCGGGGCCAGGCTGGCTGAGGCAGCTCGCCTCCCCGCTCGCCTTGCCATTGAAGCCACGCCCCTCCCCTGCCCCCGCACACCCCCCTGCAGAGGAAACCGGGCACGCCGCCATGATCGAGGAGGACGAGCATGGCAAGAGCGGCTTCGACTGCGCAGAAAGGGTGGGCTTGGCAGGTGCTGGCGGGGAATGGGCTCGTATAGGGCGCGAGGCCAGGCCGGTGGCTGCAGCCCTCCCCACCTCAGCCCTGCCCTTCCCCCGCCCCGCATGGCATGGCATCGCGCCGGCCAGGCCCCAACCCCACTGCTATCTGCCCGCTTCCGCCGCCCTGCAGCGGCTGCCACGGCTGAGACCAACACGCGGGAGGCTGAGACCAAGAAGCGGGAGGCTGCCGAGGAGGATGCTTGCCGGGTGAAGCAGCGGCCGTAGGCAACAGGCCAGGCGCTTATGATGCGGCTGATGGCACCAGCAGCATTGGCAGCCGGCATGGTGCTACTCCCCTGCCCATTTGTGCTCCCAGGCATGGCGGCAGCCCCCTTCATGATGATCCCCGCCAAGAAGCGCCTTGAGCCATTCACACCAAAGAATGTCAGTATAGGCGGCGTCATGCAAACCGTGGCGAAATGCAACGCATCCCATCTCTGCTGCACTAAAGAGCAGCGCCGCGTCAAGCTGCTCCGCTCCAGGCAACGGCCGCCGCTGCCAGCCAGGCCTGAGCTGCAGCCTGCCTGCCCCCCCTCACTCCATGTCCAACGCCAGGGTCGCCATGGCCACCGCCCCCTCCAGCGTGCTGCAGCCGCCGATGAAGCCAGAGGCGTGCACAAACACGCCGCCCGGCACGCCGGTGGCGGCGCTGCAGCAGGAGGCCAGGGGGCGCACAAGGGAGGGCAGGCAGCGGTGAGCTTGGGGCTGGGTGGGTGCCGCGCTGGCTGCGCGCGCGTCCCTGCTGCTGTGCTACTTGCCATGCAGCCGAATCCCAAGCCCCGGGACGTTGCATGGGGCAGCTTGAGGCCTGCTCGCAAGGCCACCAGCCCACCTGAGCTCCGCATCCCGCAGGCCCCGCCACGCCACGGGCAGCGCCTTGCGGCTGTCAAAGCTGCCGGGGGCCACCCCCACCGCCTGAATCCGCCACTTCTTCTCACGGTCGTCCTGCGTGTGTGGACAGCAGCCAAGCAGGGTCAAGGCCGGCAGGCGGGCTGGCACAACCAAGATAGCTGCCAGCTGGGGATCACGATGTGCAAATGCCAGGCGAGTAAAGCAGGATAGCCTTCCTTGCTTCCTTAGCTGCGCCGGCCACGGCAAGACCCCTCGCCACCTCTCATTGCCTGCCGCAGTCAGGTGGCAGGCGGTACGTCCTCACCTCGTACAGGCAGTACAGCACCTCCCCTGCCACGCCCATCTCCTCCTCCAGCACGTACAGGTGCTCCTTCCAGGGGCAGAAGGTGTTCAGCTTCATGATGCGCCCTGCAATCGCCGGCGGCATGGCATGCGGAATGGGGTCTGTGTGCCTTTGCGGATGAGCAAACTGTAACACCAAAAGCAAAAGCAACGGGATGCACGGCGTGAAGCAAGGGGCCACCCCTTGGAAGCGCGATGACGATCGCTCCACAGCACATTTGGATCCTCTCCTCCGCTCCTTGGGGAGGAGAGCAGGCTGCCGCCGGCGGCCACAGGCTGGCTGTCATCGGCTTCCAATGGGGCAGCTCACAGCCTCGCCGCAGCCGCCGCCCACATTGAATGAAAGTGTGTGCACATCCACCGAAAACGCAACGACACCGTGCCGCAGCCTGCCCCGAGGGCGGTCTCACCTGAGGGGTGCACCTGCGCGCGCTGCTCCAGGGCCTCCTTCACATGCGTCCGCGCCGGCAGCCAGGACTGCGGGCACAGCGCGGGCAGCAGGCGGCGGTTGGTTGCACGGCGGGCGGGAGGTGGCGGGGGTGGGAGGCAGCGCAGCGCACCAGCTGCAACAGCTACAGTGCCGGCAGGCAGGCAGGCAGCCAGTTTGCATGCAGGCGGGCAGATACACAGGCCACCAGGCAGGCAGTACGCACCCTGGCGTAGTACTGTACCGCCTCTGTGAACTCCCTCCCCGTCAGCTCCATGGCCGCCTGGAACTGCCGCATCGTGGCCGCCTCTGCAGCCCACGGCAGGCAGGCGCAGCCATGCGTGTCTATGTGTGGCCGCGTGTGCGTCCATGCATGTGGCCGCGTGTGCTTGTTGGCTGGGGTGTGGGCGGGCGGGGGGGGGGCCGACCAGCGCCGTAGAGCTGGAAGCACTACCCAGACGCCCAGCCGGCCGCCACTGCTGATCACCACCGCTGCTGCGGCTGCTCCTGCACACCGCGCGCAGGCGCCCACCCGAGGCGTCCTCATTCCAGTCTGGGTTCAGGCGCCCCACCCTCGCCGACAGGTGGGTGTTGTTGACATACTTGGGCGGACCCTCGCTGTCCCACTGGTTGACGCCTGGGGGCACAATGCAAGGCAGGGCGGGGAACGGGGAGTCTGAGCCGGGTAAGGTGGTTGTGTGGGTGGTGGTGCTGTGACCATGCTCTCCAGGGTTTGGGAGGTGCACTTGTCTTGTTGTAAAGAAGGCTGACAAAGGAGTGAACCAGGCGCACCATTGTCGATGGCATCGATCGCCTCCATGAAGTTTTTGTACACCGCCAGATACACAGCCTGCGGTACAACAGGCGGTACAGAACCTACGCAGCGAGTGAGCACAGCGCCAAACACACGCAACACTTCAGTGGCTGTGGCGCGCCGAGCAAACAGAGGCAGGCACCGCTGCAATGCGGTGCGGCTGCGCAGCCAAAAGGCAGGCCCAGCCAGGCAGACGGCTTGCCTCCACGTCGGCATGGTCAGCCGGCAGCTGCATGGCGGATGCCACAATCTCACGCCCATAGTGCTTGTACACCAGGCCTGCAGGACGCAGCAGTTGTTTCAACATGTTGCAGGCAGTGGCACCAGCGCCGCGCTCGCTCTCATTCACGGCACCGCGTCATTTTGGAGCCAGGAAAAGCAGCCCCACCCCGCGCTTGACAGCTTGGTGTTGAAGCCGTGGCCGAACACCTCTCCGAAGCCGCGCTGGTGGTGGTCAAACCGCTGCGCCTCTGCAACGCGACAAGTGCGGCAGCAGGGCGTGCCGTGTGAGCGTGGTGGCGGGCGGCCGGGCTGCTGCACCACGGTCAACACAGGGAGTGGCGCCCGTGGGTGGCGCCTGAGCTGTGTATGTGAGCAGTCGGAGGCACAAGGGACCACAGAGGCGAAAACTGCCGCACAACACAAGTGTTGTGCGGGCGGCTGGCACTAGTGGTGCCGCCGGTTCGGCACCTGGCTCGTACACGCCCCCGACGTCGATCACCACATCCAGCGTCTTGATGACTTCCGGTTCTCGCGTCCTGACCACCTGGGCGCCCGCAAACTTGGCAGTCTGCTTGAGCAGGAAGGCGCCCAGCGCCTCGTCGCAGTGGAAGCTCCCGCTGTGTGTGCCGATTTTCAGGCCGCCATTGGAGGGGATTGCAGCGTCCATCTTCTGCCGTTTTGCGGCCAGGGCCATGCAGGGTGATGGGCGGGAGAGCAGGCTGGAGAAGCGCAGGGCGGCTCGCATACGCGATATGGGCTGCCAGGAAGCGCAAAAAAGGCCGCGAGGTGAGCATGCCCAGTAGATGACACGGCATTTGATGGCGGCCGCCGCCGCGCATGTGTGCCACAGCGCGTCCCTCCCGCATGCAGCCAGCCAGACATTCCCACCACCCTTTTGAGAGATCATGTGATGATAGACTGTTCCTTACATCCTCCCTTCAAGGAGGGAGCCCTACATACCAAACAAAGTATCATTGGTGTTAAATAGAAACAGTGCTGGGAAAAGAGAGAGAGAGAGAGAGAGAGAGAGGCAGCATAACGGAAGGGTTCTGCCTTGCTGTTGACCAGCAGCAAGAAGCGCTTGGGGTGCCCCTGCCGACCAGGGGCGATGGGGAGGGTGATAGTGATGCGAGGGAGCAGTGGTGAAAGAGACGTGGCCGCGACAGGAGGCGCGGGCGGGAGCCAGGTGCACGTGAGGGCGGGCAATTGGGCATGTGATCTGTTGCAGGGAATAGCTGCTAAGGGTGGATGCCTGTGCGGCACGCCGTCGGCGTGCAGTGGGGAAGATTGATATACGGCGCAATTCAAAAGGGAATTCCTGGAAAGAACGTGGTGGGTAGAGAAGAGGGTGTATGGTTGAAGAGTGCAGAAAGGCTTAACAACAGCCGGCGGAGGGCTGCACAGCAGGAGCAGCGCTGCCGCCAGTCCCGGTGGGGGGGGGGGGCATCAGAGCGCGGATGTCGCATATAAAAATGAAAGTTTCGGAGCACGCTCAGGCCGGCCGCGGGGCGCCCTGAAGCGGTGCAAGCAACTGCCGAAACGGCGTAGGCCGGCCGGCACGGCGGGCCTCTGCCTGTGACGCCGCTCGAGCCGGCGGGCAGACAGGCAGGGGCGTGGGCGCGGGGTGCGGCGCGCTTGTGCGGGACTGAAGCGCAAACAGAAAGCGGGTCCCGGGGCAGCGCTAGATCTACGATGCTGGTGGTAAGAGACTTAAGCATGCGTCGTCGTCATACCCCGCCTTCCCGTTGCAGTCATAATCCAAGCTGTACAGGCAGGACAGGTAGGTCTCGGGTCGGTAGTACCGGCACAGCGTGACCACAGCGGCGCTGGGGTTGTTGCTGGGGTAGCGCCGCACGGTGACGTTCAGCACAGGGTGGGTCCATGTCTCGTCCACTGCGGCGGGAGGGGAGGGGGAGGGGAGGGGCCGGGGCTGGGCGTGGCAGTCTGTGCGAGGCTGGCGCTGGGCGCAAATGGTGCGTGTGGTTATGGGGGTGGTGGGCGTGCGCGCGAGCCAGCGCGGCAGCACGCAGCAGTGCAGCGGCACCCAGGGTCGCAGCCGTGCCACCCAGCACGGGGCACACTGGGACGGCGGGGCGCGGCAGGCCGCGCATCTGGACATTGGCAGTAGAGCAAGCGGCACAGCATGCGTTCTGCAGCAGTACGGCTGCGGTACAACAGTTCGTACCGCCCAGCATGGTCTCCCAGTTGGTAAAGGCCGAGTCGTAGGGGTCTGAGATGCCGGAGGAGTGGATGTGGACCTGCAGTAACACAAGTTGAAAGACAAAATGTAATTGAACTTTGAATGAAATTGAAACAAAAAGGGAAGGGAGCGGCGGCAGTTGCAGGCGTGCGGGGAGAATTGAGGGGAGTGGAGGGGCCACGGACAGAAGAGCGGCAGGGGCAGCGGCAGGGGGAGCGGGCGGGCGGGTCGGGCATGGGCCTGCTTGGGCGTGGCACTGGGCAGCGAGAAGAGAGGATGGCAGCAGGGGGCATGATGCACACAAATGTACGCGCGCGCGCCCACCTTGTCATCCCAGCCAGCTGCCAGGCCCATGTCGCCGCGGGTGCGCGTGCGGAACGAGATCCACAGCGGCACCGGCTTGTTGGCGCCCACCCCCGGCACGTTCCAGGGCAGCACACGGATGCTGTTGCGCACGGGCAAATCGGTGGCCGCATAACGCGACTGGCTGCCCAGCGAGACGTTGTAGGTGCGGCCGCGGATGAGCGTGGCCGCATCGTACGTGCGCGCCGCGTTCCAACCCATCTGCCAAGCGTGCGGCATGTTCCAGCACTGCACCCGGGCGCACAGGCAGGCAGGCGGGAGGCGGCGGGGCCAACAAAGCCGGTGAGCGGCGGCGCGGCCGGCGGCGCGGGGCAGGTTCATGCCGAGGGCTGCAAACGGGAGGCTGGGAGGCTGAAGGCATGCTGGGAGAGCGTGCGGCGGCGGCCCCCACGCCTGCAGCCGCTCGCCCGCGCTCGCCCCGGCGCCACCCACCCTGTTGTCGCAGCACCAGCCCATGGCGCAGCTCAAGTCATCGTACTCGTTGAAGGATCCTCCGGGGAAAGAGGCGCCGGTGGTGGTGCCCGCGTGCTGCATGAACATGTTGTGGGAGAGCTCGTGTGCGATGGCCTGCAGCGGGGAGAAGGCGAGGTGGAGGGAGGGGAGTGGGAGGCAAGGCCAGGAGGGGGAGTTGCGTGAGCGAGGGGGTACGTGGCGCTGGTGGCGTGGGTGTGGGCGGGCAGGCCGCAGGCGCGGCAGCGGCGCGAGGGGCAAGGGGCAGCGGGGCGAGCAGCGAGGCCCGGCTGGCTGGCGGGGCGGCGCGGCGTGGCGCCTGGCTGGCCGGCCGGCACCCACGTTTTCGTCGCCCCAGTGGTTGCCCGCGATCCAGGCGCGGCACTGGAAGGTGCCGTCGCAGCCCAGGTAGGCGGTACCGGCCCACTCCTTGTCGCAGGGTCCGGGCGGTACCAGGTAGACCCTGCTCTCAGAGGAGGGCAGGGAGGGAGCAGCCCAGCGGCGGCTCAGAGGCTGGTGCATGTGGGGGGCGCGCGGCTGCATCCACCTGCCTGCCCTGCAGCGGTGGCCGGGCGCTGGCCCTGTGCCCTTCCCGGCTGCTGGCCGCCTGGACGGCTGCGCAGCCCGGCGCCTGCTCCGTTATGGAGTGCCCCACCGACGCCAACACACCCAAACACACCCAAGCACGCACGTGACACACAGCGCCGGGGCTCGCCGGCAGGGGAAGCTGCTGCCACACCACCCGAACAGCATCGACACACACACAAGACATCAATCAGACTCAAACGCACAACCCGCCCCGCCGCCGCTGCTTGCCTGTAGAAGTACTTGTTGATGTTGACGCCGCGAGCAACCAGCGCGGCGTCTGCGGCATCCGCCCAGCCGTGGAAGTCGTCAAAAGTGCAGCGGTTGGCCCGCCACGGGATGCCGTAGCTGCGCGACCGCGGGTGGGGCGGGGCAGGGGGCAGAGCAGGCGGGCAGGGCGTCATCACACGGGGCCGCGGCGGCGGGCCAAGCAGGCGGCGCAGGTCGGCAGGCAGCCAGGCGGGCGAGCCGGGCCAGCACCAGCACACCAGCACCACCACCACCACCACCAGAACCACCCCCGAGCGAGCACCACCACCGGAACCGCCCCGGCGCGTGCCTGCTGCCGGAGCAGTTGAGCTGCACGGGCTGCGCCACCAGGCTGTTGTTGGCTGTCAGGCTGGTCTTGAGGTTAGAGCAGAGGTAGAAGGTGGAGCCCACGGTCGCGGTGGTGGGCGTGTTGGGCGTGCCGTCCGAGAACACAACACCCTGGATCTGGTTGCGGTTGAGCGGCGGGTTGTGGGTGGCCGCCCCGGCACGGCAAGTGCCCTTGGTCACAGGATCCATCGCCGTGACTGCGGTGCGGAGGAGGCACGCTGGGGCGCGCTGAGGCACGCTGGGGCGCGATGGGGCACGCTGCTGCCCGCTGGGGCACGCTGCGGCGCGCTGGGGCACGCGCCCGCCGGCAGCCACGCCCACAAACGCCCACTCGCGCCCCGCGGCTGGCCCCACGGCTGCAACCTCCCAGCCAGCGGGCAGCCAGCCTGCCCGCCCGCCGCCGCCGCCCGTCCCGCTAGCCCCCGCTCACTTGGGATCACCAGCACTCCCAGGGAGGAGAGGAAGAGGTCGTTCCAGACCCATGTGCCGCCGCCTTGCGTCACGTTGATGTAGCCGCCGTTGCCCTCGAACGCGGTGGCGGCGGCTGCGGTGGCGCCGACCGTCGTCGCCCCCAGCGTGTTGAGCTGCGCCGCCAGCAGCTCGTCGGGCGTGGGCTGCGCCGGCACCACGATGGCTGCAGCGGCGGCAGGGAGGGGAGGAGGGAGGGAGGCAGGAGGGGCAGGAGATGGGCAGGCGGCGGGTGAGGCGGCGGGAGCGGGGCGGCGCGGATGCACGGCGGCGTGCGCAGTGCACCCAGCTACGGCGCGTTTCGGCGCGGGGAGAGGGACGCACGCTGCGGCGCCACGGGCCCGCCGCTGGCGGTGATGCTGTCCGCTTGGAACTCCAGCTCCGCGGCGGCGGGGTCCTCGGGCTCGTCCAGCACGTCGCCCGGATCCTCGGGCTCCTCATCCGCCTCCTCCCAATTTTTTTTGTTCCACCAGCTGCCCCCCGCTGACAGGTCCATGCCCGTGCGCAGCTTCTCCAGCCAGCCGGGGTCCTTCACCTTCACCCGCCACTTCCGCCGCCGGTTCTTGCGCTTGACGAGCAGGATTCTGCGGGGAGGGGGGGAGGGGGGGCAGGCGCGCGGCGCGCAGCGGCGGCGTCACGTGCGGTTTCGCCACCATGTGGTGCGGAGCCATGCCGGCCTGCGGCCTGGGCCTGGTGGTGCAGCCGGAGGCTTCCCGGAGCGTGCCTCCGCCCGCGGCACCCGCCCTGCCTGCCAAGCTTTGCTGGGCTGGCCAAGCGCCGGGCGCGGCCCAGCCGCCGCCCACCGCCCCCCGGGGCGCGCGAGGCGCCCCGCAGGCCAGCCCGCCCCCCGCGCCGCTGCCGGCTCCGCAAGCGGCTCCTCTTGCCTTCCCACGTCGCCTTCTGTGAAGTCCATCTCCAATATCAGCGCCTTGCCTGCAGGCCAGCGAGGGTGAGGGGTTGGTGCTCCGTGCGCGCTCGGCCCCCGTCCGCTCGCCGCCCGGGCCCCGCCCACCTGAAAGCCACTTCTTCTTCTTCACGCCCTCCAGTTCGCGGGCCTCCAGCCCTTGGGCGCCCAGCATGATGAGGGCGAGCCAGAAGGCCACCCGCCGCTGTGTGCGAACCATGCTGCCAATTCGATGTCGTCTTCTGCAAAGAGTATGAGGGCTTGCGGAGCCAGCTACAGCTGAGTATCGCATGAGCGGAAGCCGGCACACCCACTGTAGAAGCTGGCGGAATTGAAGCGCCTCGTGAAGACAGCCGCCCCTTAAGCCCCACCGCCGTGGAGAACGATCGAGATCCCGCGCGACGGCTTGGAGGAGGGTGAGGGCCCCCCGGCAGGTTCGCGTGGGGCTACGGGAGCAACGCCCGTCTCTGCGGGCACGCAGATTTGTTACTGCCAGCCTGATGGGCACCAACGAAGCTGCTTGAGCGCGCCCCAAGTCGGCGAAAGGTGCAGCAGGGTTTCCCGCCAGGCACTTGCATGGCGCTGCCTGGTTGCCGCCGCCACGCCGCGGCGGGCCTGGACTGTGCTGCCCTGTTCCCCCTCCCGCCGCTGCTGCCAGCCAGTGGTGCAGCAGGCAAACTTCCTGGTGCCCCTGCGCAGAAGCCCACCGGCAAGCCCACCCGCACCCCGCCGACTGAGCTAACTCGTTGCCGCCAGCAGCCAGATCAGCTCCCTGCACACGGCTGGCTTGCTGCACCCCAGACAGCGACTGCATTGCGATTGTGTGCATGTTTGGTTCCTGACGGCTGGGCACAAGTAGCCGCATTTAGCTGTGCAGCACCCGGAATGCCCCAAGCGGCACCACCCGGCTGCAGCATCGCCGTGTGCACAGGGCTGGCCACCCAATGGCAGAAGCGCCTGTCTGCCTGCTTCTCTGAGCCGTGTAACTGGCTGCCTGGAGCCAGCAGCTCTGGCCGGGCGTAGTTGGAGATTGCAAGGAGGACTGATTTCCAATTGAAGCAGGAGCGTTGCAGGCGGGAGGCGCTGGCGCCACCCGCTTCCAGGCGCGTGAGGGAAAGCCCCGGCCACTGGTGTCACTGGCTTCTGCACGTATTGAGATAACAAACGGGCATCAGGTGTGGCCTCTTCGTAGAACTTTGAGAATGACGTGTCTGGCGCCCTCTGCAAGCTCCAAGGCCTGGGACCTCGGCTGAAAATTTCGCGTTCCAACACCCGATCACGGCGATCTGAGGCAAACTGGCCCATCCACCAGCGAGCCTGTCTGCCTTCCCCTCCACCCCCGCGTAGAACTGCCACTCCGAGGTGCGCCTGCTACTCCTGAAGACTTAGAAAACCAGTTCCCGGCCGCCGGATGAGGCAGCGCTACTCACGCAGATGCCGCCCGCCTGCCGCAGCGTTGCCCGGCTCGCCGCCGCCGCCAGAGACGCCGACATGGAGCGCGCTGTGCTGCGCGAGGGCTGGCTGCGCGCCCGCGAGCGCCTGCCCACCGAGATCTTTCTGGACAGTGAGGACATCAGCCGTGTGGTGGCGGCAGAGATTGCGGCGCTCATCCGCAGCCGCCAGGCAGAGGGTGGGTGCCGGGGTTGGCAGCGGCACCTCCGCTCAACCCTGGCTCCCTGCATTAGGCATACGGCACATAGCCACCAGCCGGGGGGCGTGCACCGCGAGCCTGCCTGGCATGTCGGGCTGAGTGCGACCGAGCCCGGCCGCCACCCGACCAGCGCTCGCGTCTGCTGGCGACACCGGTCCAACCTGCTGCAGGGCGGCGCTGCGTGCTGGGCCTGGCCACCGGCAGCACCCCCATGCACGTCTACCGTGAGCTGGTCAGGATGCACAGGCGAGCTGCGGGCCTGCCCGCCTGCCAGCCGGGCGCAGCCGCACCAGGGGCCCCCCGGCAGCGCTGCCTGTGGCAGACGCTCCCAGAGCAGCAGAGCCTCCCGCGAGCCCAGCTGCCGCCCTTGGCTGAGCCGGCCCTGTCGCTGCCGCTCGCCTCCCTCCTTCTGCCTGCCCCCAGCCTGTGCTGCCGCTGTACGATGCTATCGCTACTGTACCGCCACTGTACTGCTGGTGTACCGCAGAGAGGAGGGCCTGTCCTTCCGCAACGTGCTCACCTTCAACTTGGATGAGTACCACCCCATGCAGCCCCAGGCCCTGCAGGCGGGTGCCAGGCCCTGCCGCACCAGCTGCCACTGGCAGTGGGCAACAGCAGCTGCGGCAGGGTGGCAGTGGTGGTAGGGGGAGAGTATGTGCTGGGGCGCGGCGCCTGTCCCAGCAAGCCGCCACCCCACCCCACGGCCTCACGCCCGCTGCTCATGCCCGCCCCTGTGCTGCCCTGGCCCCCGCAGAGCTACCACCGCTTCATGCGGGAGCACCTGCTGGACCACGTGGACCTGCCGCCGGGGGCAGCGCACATTCCAGACGGTACCGTACCGCTGGCGGAGGTGCCCAAGTGAGCGGCGGTGGTGGTTATCGTTGGCATGTGTGTGGTGCGTGCTGTGCATGGTTTGGTGGCAGGGAGGCGCAACTGCTGCCTGTGCTGGTGGTGGTGGTGGTGGTGGCCGGGCTGGGTGTGGGGCACGCGAGAGGTGGTGAGGTTGGGGGGTGGGGTGGGGAGGCGAGCACAGCGTGCCAACCCCAGAACCCACCCCACCCCGCTGCTGGAGGCACTGCCAGGAGTATGAGCGGCAGATTGAGGAGGCGGGAGGCATCGATCTGCAGGCGCGTGCCTAGCCGCCGCCGCAGGAAAAGCAGCTGCCGTCGCGCCGCCGCTCCGGGCTCGCCATCACTCTTGCACCCACCCACCACAACATGCCACACTTGCTGGCTCCCCTCCTCACCACCATCCTTGCCTTCCGCCAACCACACCTCCACACACGCCTGCACAACCCCTCCACTCCCGAGCCCTGTGCAGATACTGGGGCTGGGGCGCACCGGGCACATCGGGTTCAACGAGCGCGGCAGCGCCCGCGGCAGCACCACCCGCCTCATCACACTGGACCGGTGCGCCGGCGGCCCTGGGCACAAGAGACCCTGCCGCCGCCGCCGCCTTCTGTCGTTTTGCCGTCTTGCGAATCGTGGCACCCACCCCGTGCCCCCGCGTGCTGGGCCTAGCCCCAAGCCTGCTGCCGCCGCGCTCTGCTCCCTACACCTGCCTCACCCGGGCCCTGTCCGCCCCTGCCTCACCCGCTTACCCACCTGCCCTACCGCCCACCCCGCCGATCGACTCCCGCCCTTGCAGGGTGACCCGCGTGGACGCTGCCTCTGACTTCTTTGGGGAGGGCGCCGTGCCCCGCAGGGCAATCACCATGGGGGTAGCAACCATCCTCAAGGCAGGCCGGGACCCTGCACCCCTGGCTGAACTGTTTGTTGTTGGGCGGGGTGCGGGCGGCTGGCCAGCTGCCAGGCTGGCGCTGCCTGGCTGGCCCGCTGGTTGCTGGCGCCGGTTGGCTCGACCATCGGCGGGACCCCGGCGGGCGGGTGTGGCCGTGGCCGGCTGGCTGGCCGTGCCCTGATCAGGCTCATGATCGGCTGCCCCGCTGGCGCGTGCGCGACTGGCCTGCCCGCAGGCGCGCCGCATGGTGCTAATGGCATTTGGGGAGAACAAGGCGGGGGTGGTGCGGCAGGCGGTGGAGGGGCCCGTGTCTGAGCAGGTGGCGGCCAGCTATCTGCAGGAGCACCCCGACGCCGCGGCCTATGTCGACTATGCGGCAGCGGCAGGCACGCTGTGGTCACGCCGTGGGGCCACGCTGCGCTCACGCTGTGGGGTGGGGCCATGCTGTGGTCACGCTGTGTGGCCGCGCTGTGGGGCCGCGCTCCGCCCCGCAAGAGCGCGGCGCTGCACGGCTGTGCATATCGTAGCCACACCTTGGGTAGCCAAAGGGCTGGAGAGTGCGGGCGGCCGGTGGCCCCGTGACCACCGCTGGCGGCTTCCTGCCTGCCTGCCTGCCTGCCTGTTTCATGCAGGCCTGACCCGCGTGCAGTGCCCCTGGGTGCTAGGCCCCATCGCCTGGGACGCCACCCAGGTCAAGAAGGCGGCCTGCTGGCTGGCGCAGCAGGTGTGCTGAGCTGGCACGGCGCTGAGCTGGCACGGCGCTGAGCTGGCACGGCAGGCTGGCCGCAAGCTCAAGCAGGCCGCCGCCGCCGCGCTGGATGCTGCCGGGGGGCAGCCGCCTCCTCCGGGTGTGCGTGCCTGCTCATCTCAACCAACGGCAATCCCAGGGAGGCGACAAAATTTCAGCTAGAGTGTGTGGAATCTCTCCTGCCGTGCAGGTGGGCAAGCCGGTGCTGAAGCTGACGGATGACGACTACTCAGAGCACTCGCTGCAGGCGGGTTGTTAGGGCTGGTAGCTGGGGTGGCAGGCGCCGCCTCCTCTCGGAGCGGGACCCTGAGGTGGCAGCGCCTCCTCAGGCGCTGCCACCCCAGCGGGGCGGTGGCGAAGCACGCCCGGATGCGCTGCCTGGGGACAGCCAAGGCCTGAGGGGGAGCCGCCATGCGTGCCACCAGGCTCCCTGACCCCTTCCACCTCCACCGCCACCGATGCTCCATATGCAGGACTTGGTGGGGTCGGAGTGGGGCCCAGCGTATGACATCAACCTGCGGGTCTTCTACGCCCTGCAGGGCACCATCAGCGGCTGGCCGGGTGGGTGGGGTGGGAGGGGGTGGGGCTGGGGCCCCATGCATGCAAGCGGCACTTGCTCGCATGGTGCTCGCGCCCACACAGCATGGCGCCCCATGCGGGGGCCAGGCAGCTGTTTGGTGGCAGCAGGGGGTGTGGAGAGCTGGGCGGCCCTGCCTGGGATGCGCTGATCTGGCGGTACTGCCCTGCATGGCATGGTCCTGCCCTCTTGACTGCGTGCATGCTGCTGGGCCTTGCGCAGGTGGGAAGCCGCATGGCACCGAGGTGCAGAGCGGCGCCAAGGCCGTGCGGCGCGGCAGGGCTGGCGCAGGCGGCAAGGATGCCAAGGGGACCGGTCCAGCTGCCGGCGGCGCCGCTGGTCCCATGGAAGAGGAGGTTGCTGCGAGCAGTGCCGGCGGCGAGGCCGGCAGCAGCAGCAACAGCAGCGAGGCGGGAGACACGATCAAGGCGCACCGCCAGGCTCCAGCTGATGGCAGCGCCTACGGTACGGGTGGAGGCGGTGCGGTGCAGCTGACCAGGCAATACACCGACCACGGCCTGCCGCCGGCGCAGGCGCCGCCCTCAGGGGGCGCAGCGGGTGAGCTACAACGCAAGGGCTGCTGGGCGGGATGCATGCAGCTCGCGTCGCCGGTGCAGCGGCAGCCGCAGCCCACCAAGCTGCCCACACACCTCCCGCTGCTGGCTGCCCCCTGAGCACCCCAGCTTCCCAGCGCGCTGCCGGTGCTGCCGCCGAGCCTGCAGCCTTCCCCAAGCGCGTGCTCATCATGTCTCCTCACCCCGACGATGACGTCATATCTATGGGCGGCACACTCATCCGCCTGGTGGACCAGGGGCACGAGGTGGGTGGGCGGACTGCTGCATGGCTGCCGTTTCAGCCCCAGCAGGCGCCTCTTCAACCCCACCATTACCTCCCACCACCACCACACAGACATGCTGAGCTGGCACCTGACGCTCCCCATCACCCACCCACCCACCTACCCACCCACAACCGCAGGTGCATGTGGGCTACCAGACCAGCGGCAACATCGCGGTGTGGGACGAGGACGCGCTGCGCTTTGCAGACTTTGCGGTGCAGGTGCGCCGACCGTGTGGCACAGCTTCCGGGGAGCTTCCGGGGCTTGCGGTGCCTCCTGAGAAGCCGGCCGGGTGTTGCGGGAATGGGCAGAGACGCGCGGGGGGGTGCAGGGTGGAGGCATGTGCAGCCACAGGCGGAGGGTCTGTGGTGCCTCCTCGCCTCCCAGCCAGCAACCTTTGCCTGTCCACCCCCCGCAGTTTGGCGGCGCCATGGGGCTGGACACGAGCCGCACCGGGGAGGTGGCCCGCCGCATCGAGGCCGCCCTGCGGGACAAGCAGCCGGGGGAGGTACAGGGGGCAGTACAGTGGGGCTGGGGCGTACAGCGTGGGGCTGTACAGGGGGCTGTGAGGAAGCGGTGGCGGCTTGCAGGAGGAGGGAGGGAGAGGGGGCGCTGGCTGCCCCTGCTGACATGCCGGGCCGGCGCTGCAGCCCAGAGCTCAGGCCTGGCACCTGCCCTTTCCCACCTACCTTTCTTTCTTACCCCCTCCCTCGCCCCCGCCGCAGGTGGACAGCGAGGAGGTGCTGCGAACCAAGGCGCTCATCCGCAAGTGCGAGGCGCGGTCGGGTGGGTGGGGCTGCCACTGGCAGGCCGTCGGCGGCTGCTGGGGGCTGGCTGAGGCTGACGGCGGCTGGCGAGGGTGCAGGCGCCCTCCAATTGGGCCGACCGGCAGCTGGGGCCCTTTCGGGCAACACCCAGCCGGCTGCAGGCGCACTGCCTGGCCCTGACCAGCTCAGCTCAGGCCTGTACAGCCCGTGCGCTGTGCCTGCCGCTGCAGCGGGGCGCACGTGTGGCGCTGACGTGGCAAACCTACACTTCCTGGACATGCCTTTCTACCAGACTGGTGGGTGGCGGGCGGGCTCACATCATTCACGCTTCCACCAACACGCCTCCAGCTGGCAGCAGCTGGCGCCAGGCCCGGACTGAGCGCTGGCAAACCTCCCCAGCCGGGCATTCAACAAGATGCAGCGGGCTGAGCAGGGCTGCTGCCATGGGCCGTGCCCGCCACCCCACCACGCAGTATATCATGCAGGCGCGTGCATCGCCCCTGCCCCTGCCTGCTCCCTGCTGCAGGCCAAGTGGTCAAGGCGCCTCTGTCCCAGGCTGACATCGATCTGCTGGTGGCCCTGTTTGACCGCATCAGGCGAGCTGGAAGGTCCGGACTGGGAAGCCGGCAGGCTGGCTGGCTGGCTGGGATGACCACCGCTGCGGTAGGCGAGGGGCCGTGCTCGCCTGCCGACCCGCCGACCCGTCAACCAGCCCCCGCTCTGCTGCCCGAGAGCCAGGCTGGCCACCCGCCACTCCTCCCACAACACGTCCTGCCCTCTCCCCGCACCCAAACAATACATCATGTCAACCACACGCAGGCCGCACCAGATCTTTGCGGCGGGTGACCTTTCCGACCCACACGGCACACACCGCACCTGCCTGCAGGCACGAGCTGCTCAGCAGGGCATTTGTGGGGTGCAGCCGCCCAGCGCCAGAGCTTGCATTAGTGCAGTCGAGCGCACCTGTGGCGTGCCCTGCCCTGCCTTGCCGCTGCCACAGCTGGTGCTGCCGACAGCGGTTGCCAGGGGTTGGAGGCAGCAGGAAGGGCGTTGTCTACCATGCATCGATGCATTGCATGCAGGCCATCTTCCGAGCTCTGGGTGTGGTACGGGAGCAGGACTGGTACCATGAGTGCGGCACCGAGGTGCTGCTGTACCGTGGAGCCTGGCAGGAGTGGGAGCCTTGGGAGGTGGACCTGGCGGTACCGCTGTCCCCCGCGGAGCTGCAGCAGAAGGTGGATGCGATCTTCAAGCACCAGAGCCAGGTGAGCCCTGCGGCGACGACGGGCGCAGCGTGGCGCTGGGCGCAGGCCGCCAGCCGGCGGCAGCATCCCGCATCCTGTAGCCCCAGACCGTCGCCGCTGGCAGGGAAGCGGCGGCGGCTGTGCCTGCCTCCCTTCCTCGAGCTCAATCGATTCTTTTTTCATGTCGCTTCACTCAAGAGCGGGACCTCCTACTCTGCGCCGCCTGCTTTTTGCAGAAGGACCGCGCCCTGTTCCCTGGAGCAGACCCTCGAGAGTTCTGGCAGCGCGCCCAGGAGCGCAACCGCGCCACGGCGGCGCTGTACGACAGGTGGGCCCGCCGCGCCAGCCTGGCAGCTGTCCGATAGGGCATGGACAAGGTTTTGGGAGACCCTGCCCGCCTGTCCCTCCCTGCAGGCTGGGCCTGGCAGAGTACGAAGCCATGGAGGCATTTGTGCGGTACGACCCCTCCGCCGACGACCCCTCCCACCTCTTCTGCCCGCCGCGGCCCGAGGCGTCGGAGGAGCGGGCGGCGCTCAAGGGCGGCGAGCTTGTGGGGCAGTAGCCTCTGCCACCAGCGAGATCTCTGGGATCGCCGCCAGCTAGCTCCCTACGTCTTGACTGCCGATTGCCATCAGACTGTTGTGCTCATCCGCCACCGGTGAACTCGGTTACAGGCGCAGCCACGGACACAGTTCAAGTTGCTGTCTGACGCAGTGCCAAATACCAAGCTTCATCCATGCTCGTGTGTAATCAATTGCTCAACGCGTGGGTTGCCTAGGCGACCCAAACTCTCCTGGCAGGAATTTGCATCTGATCCCTCTGCTTGCCTCTCCACACGCTTCCGTCCCACGTCCGCTCTCCAGCCGCGTGCCCATCAGCGCTGGCCTCCTGCCCCATGACAGCTGCTGCCAGGCTGCTGCCACCTCCTGGCTACTGCTGCTTGAGGGCTCCTGCTGGCTACTGCTGCTTCAGCGCCTTGGCGTGCCAGGCATCCAGAGGCGCTGCCTCCAGCCGCGGCAGCACCCGGCGCAGCAGCAGCAGGATGGCCAGTCCCAGGCACACGCCCACGCCTGCACGGCAGGGGGGGTTGGCGTGGGGTGCAAAGTCAGCGGGGCGAGCAGTGGGGGCTGGACGCCGCTTGCTCACGGGCAAGCACCGGCGAGGCAGGTAGCGGCAGGAGGCGGCAGCAGGCAGGAGGCAGCAGCACGCCCCTACACACACACACACGCGTGCACACAATCCAAACGCACACACAATCCACACGCTCACCTGCCAGGATGTAGAAGCCATCCCGCAGGACCTCGCAGGCGCCGCCCGCCGCGGTGCAGGCGTTGGCGGCGCCCACGCCCCTGCCCCCCGCCGCCGAGCACGCCTCTGGCGCCACGTCGGCGCCCACGCACTGCCGCTGCGTCAGCACATCCATGGCTGCACCGGGGGCGGAGAAGAGAGCAGCGGGTGGCAGGCAGGGTGCCAGAGCTAACGAGGGGAGAGCCATCACAGGCCTTTCGATGGGTGCAGCACGACAGGTGCATTGGCGCCAGCTCGGCATCGGCGCCCAGCAGGGAGGCAGCCGCGAGGCAGCAGGGAGGCAGCCGGCGGCAGTACAGGCGGCACCAAACGCGGCCGCCCAGCCCACCCGCAAACAGGAACAGCTTGGGCACCGTCACCCCGATGTTGGCCACTGTGTTGAGCAGGGTGAGGTAGGCGCCGCCCATGGCTGGGTCACTGATCCTGCAGGGGGAGGGGATGCGAAGGAGGAGTGTGTGTGTGCGTGAGGAGGTATTTGTGTCGTGTGAGGTGTGTGCGGCAGCTAGGGTGAGTACGGCAGCTGGTGGGGTGGATGGGGGCGTATGGCATGGGTGTGCGTGTGGCGGTCAAGGCGGTGCGTGCATGTGGCGTGGGCGCTATTGCCAGGCCGCCACCCGCCCGCTCTCCATCCATCCATCCATCCATCCATCACTCCCGCCAGCCCGCTTGCCTGTTGAAGAAGGAGCCCAGGGCTGTGAACATGAGGGTGGAGGTGAAGGAGGTGGCCACCCCCAGCGCCGCCACGCCGGCAAAAGCGGCGGGCGCGTCGCCCAGCGCCGAGGCGCCCGCCGGGAAGCGGTGCACGGCATAGGCGCTGCAGGGGTGTGGGGGGGAGGCAGGAGGCGCCACGCAGCGGGGAGGAAGGTTGGGGGGAGGTGGGAGGGGCAGGCAGTCAGGGGTGCTCCCAGTCAGGTGTCCCGAGAAACTGGCGGCGCCTCGCATCTGGCATGCACCCTCTGGCAGAGGGCCTGCCTGCCCCGGCCACTCCCTTTGCGCCTGGCTGGCCCGGGCCCCCAGCTGCGCCGCACACCTGGCGGCCGCCAGCGCCAGGCGGGCGCGGTATCCGGCCAGCCAGGGCGCAAAGGGGCGTCCCGCGGCGGCCCAGCGGCCCGCCACCAAGGCAGACACGAGCTCCATTGGGAACTCAGCCAGAACCTGCGGTACCATGCGGTAACAAGCAAGGGCCAAGGAGGGAGGATGTCAGCTGTACCATGAAGGCATGTGCCCAGCGGAACACCCTGCAGCCTTGCGGTACCATGGCGATGGAGCAACGGGCTAGCGAGCCCTGTCCATCCCACCAATTCATCCCGTACCAGACACCGCCCCCTCAGCCCACCACCTCAGGACAACTCCCACACTCACCAGCCCCGCCAGCGCCTCCTTGCTGACCCCCTTCTCCAGAAGCTTCAGAGGAGCCGCCGCCTCGACTGTCAGCATGCCCAGCCGGCACGTCACCAGCACCAGCGCCAGCAGCTGCAGCATGCAGGCGGGAGCAGCACGCGCAGGGGACTTCAGGACAGGTTCGGGGTGGGCGGGCGGGGCAGTGCGGGAGCGCACTGCCACAGGAACCAGTCCACCACGGGAAGGTGTGTCCAGCGCCACCGCTGTTTCACCCTAACAGAGCAGCAGGAGCACGCAAGCATGCCAGGCCGCGCCACCCAGCCGGGCTCAGCCCAGCCCCGGCCCGGCCGCTCGACGCCACCAGCGGCTTGCCTGGACGGTGGGCAGGCGCACCACCCGCCACAGCTGCAGGTAGGCTTCCCCTAGCGGCGGCACCGCCTCCTCATCCTCTCCATCCTCCTCCCGCCCATCCTCTGCGCTCCCGGCCGCGGGAGCGGCCACGGTCGTGGCGCCACCCCCACTGCAGGCAGCTTCCTCGACGGCCTCCCCCTCAGAGGCTCGCCCCAGCGAGGACAGCCGCTGCGTGCTGCTCAGCATGATGGCCCCTTCCCTCCCTGCACCAGCACAGGGAGGCGGGCCACACCAGCGCACAATCGGTGGAGGCACGCCAGCGTGCGGCCGCCGGCCATCAGGCTGAGCACAGCCGCGCAAGCCGCTGGCGCGCAGCATGCCCTGCTCTTGCGGCACACAAAACCACGCTGCAAACCCTGCGCGCGGCCGCATGGCTTGGCCGCCCCAGGCCGCCCGCTCGCCCGCTCACCGTTGGCCTTGCTGCTGCCATACATGCCGCCGTTGGCGCCGCCGCTTGCCCTGGCCCTGCCCCCGGCACCGCGCTCCCGAGTGAGCAGCGCCACTGCCGCGGTGATTGCCAGGTAAGCCCAGCCCCAGAACCGCATGTAGCCAGACAGCGACAGGGCGCCTGCAGGGGCGCAGACAGGGCAGCAGGCAGCCTCGGCCTCCAAACACCTCTGCCCACAAACCGTCCCGGCTCCCCAGCCGCTCCGCGGGGCCGCCAGAAGTGCCCCGGCCAGGCAGCCTGAGAAGCAGCCCAGCCTTGGCCAGGCGGTGCAGCACCTTGGCCGGGTGCCGAGGCTGCGGGCAGCCACTTGTTAGAGAAGGAGGGGTCGTTGAGTGCGAGGAAGACTGTGAAGGAAGCAAAGTAGCCGATGTTCATGCCCACCGTCTGACACGTGGCGGCGTAGCTGCATGGCGGCAGGTGAGGCAGGGGGGCGGGCATGAAGGGAGGGGTGAGCGCGGCCGGCGCGTGCGCAAGCTGTTCCGGCAGGGGAAGCGGCGAGCCCGGCGGCGCGCACCCGACGTGCTGCTTGCTGAGCAGCGTCAGCGCCCAGCCGTCCACGGCCACGTCCTGGGTGGCGGCCAGCAGGACGAGCAGGAAGAAGAGGCTCGTGACGCCCGCCGCGTTGCCCGCATCCAGCTGAGCCTCCACCCAGCCGCCGCACAGCAGCATGAGGGCCGCGCTGGCGGTCTGCAGGGGCAGGATCCAGGAGCGGCGGCGCCCGACGGCGGGCCAGTAGAGGGAGTCCACAATGGGGCTCCACAGCAGCTTGAAACTGCAGCGGGCAGGCAGGGATGCCAACGAGGCAGGCAGGCAGGCGGGCAAGTGAGGCAGAGAAGCGGGCACAGCAAAGGGAGGCCGCAGGCGATGCCTGTGCTCCGCAGTGCGGCTGCTGGGGTACAGCGCCAAAGCCATTGCAGCCAGGAGCATGCCGCAGCTGCCCATCCGCCAGGCGGCGCCGCCAGTTGGACAGGACGGCAAGGCGTCTTGCCTGTAGGGGTAGGAGGCCAGGGAGAAGATGCCGATCTTGGTGTAGCTCATCTTGGCTTGCATCAGGAAAGGCCTGCGGGCGAGGGGGTGCAACCAAGGGGTTGGGCAAGCTGGCCGGTGCAGCGTCACTCAGGCAGGCAGGGGGCGAGCGCTTCAGACCCGTGCATCGCATCGGAGCGGCGGCGGGGCAGATCAGGACAGCGGCAGTCGCGGCGGCACCCGGCTCACATGCTTCCCATGGAAAGGCCCAGCGGCACGCCTTGCAGCATGTACAGGACGACGAGCAGCACCACGGCAGGCAGCTCGTCGCGCAGCAGGCTGCCGCCGCCTGCTTTCGCTCCCTCTCCTGCTATCTCCTTGCCAGCGGCTGCCGCCGGCTTGCCGCCGCCGCTGCCAGCGGCTCCATTCTCGGCGGGGGCGGCCGTGCCGCGCCGCCTGCGGGTCCCACTGCTGCTCATTGCAGCTGCTGTTGCTGCTGAGGCTGCATAGACGCCTGGCGCGGTCGGCTGGTGATGAGGTCGGTGGAGCTACCGGGAAGGGCGGGTGGCTTCTGGATGGGTTGACAGAGCTCCGATTCAGAGGAGAAACGAGGCAGGGGTTGCCGCAAGAGGCTGCATGGGAGTGCAGGTCCACCACGGGGGCCGGTGTCTAGAACTCAAGAATGCAGCTTGCGCATTGCTGCTTGGCACACCTGCATCGAAATGAAATGCGCCTGGCTATATTCGTCGCGCTGGGCCGCCGCATTTCGCGGCCGCCTGCCGCCACCGCCGCCCGCGTCCTGCTCCAGCGGGGTGCTTGCAGCCAGCCCTTCACACGCATTTGCTGCCAGCTCCACCCCCCCTAGCCGCATCTGGTGCCTGTGAGGCACTGTTACAGCTAACGTCCCCGATGGGAGAGGCGACGTCGCTGCGCACGCAGATGGCCTGACGGTGGGTGAGGTGGCGTGGTGGCAACCCACGCTGGAGATTGGGGTGGCAACCACGCCTGACATGACCTTCATCAGCACATAGTCATGGCGGCAAGTGCTGTTGTGGGGAGGGGCAGTCTTGCCGCTTGCCGCCCCTCCAGTACCGACCGCTCAGCGCCCTCAGCACATGGGCCGCGTCACCTGCGGCTACTTAAGACGCAATCGGCCTCATTGACTGAGGTCAGTGCGCCAAGCGCGGCCTTTTGTCAGCTTGCCCACTTCTTGATCGGGTCCGCGTGCCCCCTTGCTAGCCTTGCCGCCGCCTACTAGCGTGTTTGGCTTCTTGAGGAGGCGGGAGGCATCGCCAATAGCCCTGCAAAGCAGAGAAAGGCCCTGACCGAAAGCAAGCAATCGCAGTGCTGTGCAGCGCACGCCGGTGGAGGCTGCGCAGTGAGCTAGGACGGTGACCAAGGCCTAAAGGGGTGCTGCAGGTGATCCCAGCATGGGCAGGTCTCCGCCGCGCCGCCGCCGCCGCTGCTGCCGCTGCCGCCGCTGAGACGCGCGCCGCCTGGCACCCTGGCACTGCAGCCTGCTGGCGCCCAGCGCAATGGCCGGCAACGCCAGCTACCCCACCCCGCCCTGGTACAACGGCGTGGTCACGTATGTGCCAGAGTACTGCGGCCGCATCAGCCCGTACGAGGCCAACACCGAGGATGCACCCACCTTCCAGATCACCGAAACCAGCTACTGGACGGTGCGTGGGCAGCCTCCCTCTCGTCCTGCCTGAGGCAGAGGGGAGGCATAATGGCAGCCTGCAGCTCCTGCAGGGAGGGGGGCCAAGCAGGCCCTCAGAATGTCGACCTCTTGCTGCACACCGTCCAAAACACTGTCCGCCGCTGCACACCATCCGCCGTGCCGCCCAGCCCGCGCTGCTGGCCCGCTCAGATGGCTCGCTGCCTGGCTGGCGCAGGGCGAGGTCATCCCCAGCATCATCCCTGGGCTGGTTCTGGGCGGCATCGCCCTCGTCGGCTTCATCCTGTCCCTGCTCTGGGTGAGTCTGGCGCTCCTTATGTGATGCAGTCATGCAGAGGCCGATGGGTGGAGGAGGGCAGGCCACAGAAGCGCCGGGGCCTGTGCCCGTGCCTTTGCTGACCGCCCAGCTGTAGACTGCCGTGACATATGCTGCCCAGCCGCTCCCCACCGCCGCTTGCAGCTGTGCGTGCGGCCATGTCGGCGCACCTACGTACGCCGTCGGGAGCTCAGGCGGCGCGCGGCCGCCGAGCGGCAGGAGCGGCAGGAGCGGCAGCAGCTGGAGCAGCAGCAGGCTGGCCAGTTCATATCTGCTGCAGAGTCGGGGAGTTGGTCCCAGAAGCCTCTAGAGCCTCCGCAGCAGCAGTCGATGGGCGGAGCGCCTCCGCCAGCTGATGGCACGCAGCCGCAGCAGGCAGCAGCGGGCAGCGCCGCGCAGCGCGGCAAGTGCCGCGTGCCGGGCTGGCCCTGGTGCCGGCAGAAGTGGCGGCAGTGCCGGCAGTGCTGGCCGCCGCCGCGGCAGTGGTGGCAGCGCCAGGCAGGTGGGCGCCCTGCTGCCTGCGCCTGCCGGTTGTCCCCGCGCTGCGCTGTTGGATGGCCCGAAGGCTCTCAACCCGCTGCCCTTGTCACTTTTTCTCTTTTCTCACACGCTGCCTTCTATCCCTCTCCACCCCCAACCCTCCCACCCGGCTGCCCCTCCTGCCTTGCAGATCCGGGCGAGGGCCCTGTGGCGGCCTGGACCAAGCTGTTGCTGGTGGCGCTGGGGGTGCTGGTGGTGGCAGTGGGCTCGTGGGGACTGGCCCAGAGCATCGTGGCCACTCAGGACATGATCGGAGAGTTCTGGGGGCTCATGGATCAGACCTCCACCTTTGTGAGTGGCGGGGAGGCCTGGCGCCGAGCCTGCGGCGGCGTGGGTGGCAGCCGCCGCGCGGAAGATGGCAGCCGCTGCCTGGGTGCCGGGCGCCGGGCGGGCGGCCCGGCAGCCTTTGTGGTTGGCAGGCTGTTGGCAGGCTGCTGGCGGCTCTCCAGCCCGTGTGTGGGGCAGTGGCGGCCACGAGTACAGAGCTCATCGCGGTGCGCCAGCAGGCTGCCTTGAAACACACACACGTGTGAAACAGACCACCATGGCCGCCCTGTCCCCCCGCCCCGCAGACCGGCGACGTGTACGCAGCAGCAGCCGAGCTGTCTGGCAACATTTCGGCGTTGCAGGCGCCCCTGGCCGCCGTCACTGCTGAAAGCGCCGGTGCGCCTGTAGCCACCGCCCGCCCGGCCCGCTGCTGTTCCAGGCGCTACGGCCTGGCCGCGCGCCAAGCCGAGGGCTTGCCTCCGGCCGGCCGCCTCTGCCTGGCTTCATTCCCGCTGCCTGGCTGCTGCATGCTGGCCACACGCCCAGAGCCAGCCTTGTGCCCCGGCAGTCGACGTGCACAGCAGCAGGAAGGCGGCCAGCCGCATGCGTCCCCGCCCGCATGCACGCCGCATACACACACCCTCACCAGCCCTCCACTCTCCCCGCCCCGCCTGCGCCCCGCCGCAGCGCTGCGCCCCCTGCTCCAAGCCGTGGGGCTGCAGCCCGTGCAGGTGAACGCCGTCCTGCTCTCCCTAACCACTTACGACTTCTCTCAGCTGACTGCCGCCTCTGCCGCCATCAACAACTCGGTGCTGCCCGCCATCAACAACAGCATCAAGCCGGTGGGTGGCGGTTGTGGGGTGGGGTCTGGTGCTTCGGTGCGCACAGGTTTGCTGACTGTATGGGTGAGGGGGAGAGGGAGGTCTCTAGAGAGAGGGGAGTACATGCGTGGTGTGTGCATGTGTGTGTGTGTGTGCTTCCACCTGCACGCGTTTCGGCCACTTCACGCGCTCCAGCTGCCCGCTGCCCGCCGGCGCAGGCTCTGGAGAGCATCTACGACTGGGAGTCTCCCACCATGAGCATACAGGACACCTGGCGCTACGTCATCATCGCCGGTACGGTCCTTGCAGCAGCGCGTGCTCGTGCTGCCGCCTGGGGGCCTGCTGCCCGCCTGCACGGCCTGCACGCCTGCCTGCCTGCTGCCAAGGAGCCGCGTGGACTGCGTGCCTGCCTCCTGCCTGCTCAAGAACGGCCCGGCGGCTCCTACACACCCGTGCCCACAAGCTTCCCCACCCGCTTCCCGCCTCGCCTCCCCCCCGGGGGGCGCGCATGGGGCGATGGGGTGGGCTGGTGGCACGGCCCCAATAGGCCCCTCTCTCTCTCCTCAACCACGCATGCAGGAGCAGGATAGTGCGGGAGGAGCGGGTGAGGCGCGCACCTGAGGTGGTGCGCCAGGTGTGCCTTAGGCACCTGCGGCGCCGCCCCCGCCAGCTCCCACAACGGCGCCTCTAT